TCAACGGCTGGAAGGGCCATGACACAGCTTGGAGCCGTTCCATTCGGTGCTGGGAAAGGAGTGGTGCATGGAGTCGGGAGTGTTGGAAAATTCGCAAAAGGGGTATTTTCGAAACCGAAGTCGATTGACGAGAGGGATGAATCGTCAGAAGGGAGTGAAGTGGCAGCGGGACAGGTGTCAGCACCCGCTGTCCCCTCGATCCAGAAGCCAGCGCCAAATGTGGCGACTCTGGCACCAGGGAGGGAAGGTGGACCAGAGAGTGGAATGCTGAAAGTAGCAGTGCTCGGGGCAAAGGACCTGTCGACGATGGGAGAAAGCTCAGTCAAGCCTTACCTGGTATTGCGAGCTGGGAAGGAGGAATTCAAGACGAAACATACCGGCAAGACGTTGACTCCAGAATGGTAAGTACATTCGGAGATGATCAAGAGCTGTGACGCAATGACGATCGTAACAGGGACGAAGTGTTCAACGTCGCTGTCAGTTCGGAGACCAAGTCGTTAAATGCATCGATCTACGATCACAAGACGCTTGGAAAAGACAAGCAATTAGGAGAAGCCGACATCGATGTAAGTTGAAATCGTTACAGTTGGGCAATAGCTGACGGGTGTCGGCAGATCTGGCGGCATTTGCAAGCGAACGGGTCGAGCCTGGTATTGGCTGCTGATGTGTGGTTGGAGCTTCGCTCGGGGACAGGACAACTGCATGTACGGCTCGAGTTTGAGCGTGGTTTGACGAGGAGTTTGACTGGGAACTCCAGCGGGGGGTCGCGAGTTGCACTAGGAGGGAGCCCATCGCGGTTCAGCCTCAGCAGGCGGCACAACGACGATTAAGGATGTATTAGCTTACAAACATACCCAATTCCTGTGTCCGTATTCTTACCTTAGAGCTACTAGTTCATGGTGATTACAAAATGATAGGCCGAACGAACATTGTTGTTCTACGGGCGACCTGACTCTGTCTGCTACTTATCTCGAGTCTCGATCCGTTGCCTGCTATCGATGAAACACTTCACAGATGCCTGTCATAAGTGATGTCACAAGAAGCGACGCCTGCTGGCTGTGTCCGGACTAAAAATAGGCGGTAGACGGCCGTTGCGTTATGGCACGCCGACATGGAGCTAATAATAGAGGGATGGCATCTCGCGTTGGAATCAAAACATGTTGGAGGATCTCTGCCTGGTGAGCTTGATCGGAATTTATGGATTTAGTGGATGATGCCTATTAGGATTTGTCCAGCAGAGGATGTGATTTCCTTTTTGAGCGACGGACGCCAGTCGAATCATGACAACGGCACGAGGCTCGACCGTTGCTCAGCCCTGAATCAGTACGATTCGGTCAGCAGGCGCCTGAGTTGAAAAACATCGTCTCCCTTCTTTCCTCTTCACCCCCCTCCTCTTCCCTCTCGCCATGGCGCCTCTCTCCCTCTGGTTCGCCTCATCACTCCTCCTCACATCCGTCTTGGCGCAGGAACCAACAGACCTGCCCAATCTCGCAAACTCGACCGTCCCGTACAACCTCCCTTCCAGTGCCAAGTACGACTATGCCGAGGTTCTCCACAAGGTCTCCCTTTCATCCTCTCCCTCCCAGCTCACACTGACCTTTGACGCGTCTTCCAGTCGTTTTTGTTTTATCATGCACAACGCTCCGGAAAACTTGGCCCAAACAGGAGGCTTGCATGGCGTGGCGACTCGTGCTTCGTTTGCTCGGGGCCCAACGGCGAGGACCTCTCTGGGGGTTACTACGAAGCCGCCAACACAATGGTACCTTCCCCCTTGATCCTGCCTCCGTCCCTTACTAACAAGCCCCGCGCTTTTATTTAGAAATGGGGCTTGCCATTGGCCTACACCGTCACCCAGCTCGCCTTCAACGTTTACGTCTTTGGCGACGCGATGAAGGCCATGAACGAGATCAACGAAGCCAAGGAGGGTGCTAAGGTACGTGTTCCCGTTGCCGCGGCATGTCCGTCCCTCATCGCCTCCGTTGGCAGTGGGGTGCCGATTACCTCGTCAACTGCATCAGCGGCCCCGAAAACTTCGTCGGACAGGTAAGTTGTTTTCCAGACGCGTGCATGCGCACCACTGACGCGTCTTAGCTTGGTGTGAGTGCTATCAACACCACCGATATCGACTTTGGATACTTTGGTCCCGTGCGTTGTCTTTCCTGATGCTTGTACTCTGACCTAACGGCCCCATCAGCCCGAAGAATACGAAATGTGGGTCCCCGACAAGATCATGCACCCTGCCGGGCTCGCCTACATCAACTCGACCAACCCATCGTCCGAAATTCTCGGTGAAAGCGCTGCCACCCTCACGGCCACCTCCCTCATCTATGCCGACACGGACCAGACCTATTCTCAGACCCTCCTCGAACATGCCAAGGATCTCTATACACGTGCCTCTACTCATCTCGGGTCGTACATGCAATCCACGCATCCCAATCTCCAGACCGTCAAGACGTGGTACCCAAGCTCCATTTACACGGATGAGCTCGCCTGGTCCGCAGCCTGGCTCTATGTAGCAACCAAAGACCAAACGTACCTCGATCAAGCCAATAACTGGATTCGAAACGCGTCTGCTCATAACGACGAGGTGTGTGCACCTTGTGGCTATGTCCTCGCCCTCGCTCACCGTTATCTGCACAGTACTCTTGGGATGAGAAGCTCCCTGCGGTTTACCTGCTGCTGTGGATGGAGACCAAGAATCAGACGTATGCCGCCGGTGTCGAGGCTTTCTTGAGTGTACGCGTTTATGCCACTCCCTGTCATCGCTATCTAACTTGCGCCGTTATAGGGCTTCCTTCCAGGTGGACAGTGGAAGCAAACCGCAAAAGGTCTGGTGTACCAGGAAGGCTGGGGTTCTTTATCGTATGTTCCCCCGTCCCGTCCACTGGTGCTTGAACTCACGGGTCTTTCACAGCTATGCCGCCAATGCAGGTTTCATTGCTATGGCTTATGCTAAAACTTTGGGATACCAGTCTACCAACGGCACCAAATACGTGACATTCGCTGCCCAGCAAATCAACTATATGCTCGGCGACTGTGGCCGGTCTTGGGTCGTCGGCTTCGGCAACGACTCACCTCTTCGGCCTTACCACAAGTCGTCCTACAATAGCTTCATCGATTATCCCATGCGGGGTCAAAGCAATGATGTCCAGGAAAACGATTTCCTCAACTCCAACACTACAAACAGGTTCATCCTCTACGGTGCACTGGAAGGTGGGCCGGCGTGGAACGACACCTTCAAGGACGACAGGTCCAACTACGAGTATACAGATACGTGTTCAAACCGTGTGTCTATGTGCGATCACTTACCTGTCTGAACCAACACAGGTGACGCAGGACTACAACGCAGCCTTCACGGGCTTGAACGCCGCTATGGTCGACTATTACGGCGCCAGCAACTTCAAGCCATTCACCGACTGCGGTCTCGATCTCGGATGGAGTCATCCCAACGCCTCCAACCCGCCACAATGGCCTGCCGATGACTGCTATCACACATGCAACACGGGCTGCAGTAACCTTGCCGCGTCCAATTCGTCCAACAACAACCCCCACACCACGGCGCCTGACACTGGTCATAAGAGCGGCGCCGCTGGCCTTGCCGTTGGCCTCGGCACTGCCTTGGTTGGAACCATTGTTGGCTCTGTAGTTGCCTTTGCTTAACCCCAAAAAACATTTTGTGCGTTTGCATGAACGTCTTAGGACATGTCACGATACTTTACAATGTTTTTCATGATTGACATTCCTAGGAATTTTTTCACCCATCCTTCCACTCACGAGTCGCAATAATATTCACGCTTATCGGTTCATATCTTTTGCCTTGAAAAGACCATTATCTACTCTATGGACATATTTTGAATTGCGGTTTACTTGTCTTGCCTTAGGGAGATTGTCGCTATGTACATATCCTCCGTTTCGAAGTGTATTCCCGTGGTCCCCCGTAACTTGCACACTTTGCGACCGTTGCTGTCATCTGTAGACCGTTCTAGCGCGGGTAATGCTGCGAAGGGGTCAATGCCGCCGCCCCGCCCGAGCCCCCCGAGCCGAAGCTTTCGGTAAAGTTAATGGCTCGTGTCTGCCATGCATTCGAAACGCCCTCATGCCTTGCACGTTGTTGTGAGGAATGTCCCGACATTGGGGAACGGATCCGGATCGATCTGTGATTCGGATCTAGGTTGCCGGTTGCCGTAAAACACGAACCACCAAACGACAGCCTCGCGTACGGCTTGAGCTGAGCGTTTGGATAGAACATTGCGC